TAGTTTAAACCACCTTCCTACTAGGTCCTGTTTTGACTGCATCCGTCATGGGTGAGGCACATTATGGAATATTATTATAGAGATTAACCCCAGTATTCCAGTCACTGTTATCACCGATTCTCAGGATGTACCATTAGCATAATGTAGTACTACCATTTTCACCACCTGTGAAACTAGTATCCTTGCTTGGATTCCGATTTAATCTTGTAGGTCCTCACTAGATGCACTTGGCTTAACAATTTTTGTCTAGTATTCTCACCACCTGTGGCTGATACCTTGCCCTTCGGTCATATGATTAAGTTCTGTGGAATGCCACCATTGGAATAGAATAGTTCATAAATTAATTTAAAGACACTTTAATAGATTTTAATTTATTAACTCGGTTTCAATTTTATAGAAATTTTATTAATAATTAGATGTTTTTTTAATACAATCTTTTTATTAATTCATTTTTGTTTCAATTTTGTAATTAAATTTTATTTAATTAATCGAATCCAATATAAATTAAGAAACAATTGATCAATTGACAATTTATAAAATATTGCCATTATATTATAAACTTATTTAAATTTATAATAAAAAAAATGTTAGAAATTATTTTATAAAAAAATTTTTATTTATAAATAATAGTAAAAAGCATTAGACAGATCTTTTATTAGTACAAATTAAAAAAATTTAAATTATTATTTTTTAAATTATAATTAATAATATATTTAAAGACTTTTGCATCAGACTATATATCATATGATTCTCGATAAAGATTTCAAACATCAATGACTTTATCATTCCTAATTAATGTTCTAGGATTAAAGAGATCCATTAAATAGGTACTGAACAAAATTCGTTATCATAAAGAACTCACGAAGAAAAAAAAAAAGACAAGATATTGGTTTTGATCAAGAAATTAATTCAACCCTCCCGAGTGTCCATAGTCGTCTCTTCTTGAATAGTATTAACTGAATCTCCATCGTTTTCGTTTACTTTGTTAGACATTATCGGAAGTTCCAAGTATTTATGCCGAGCAGCCCTTATTTATAATGGCATTTAAAAAATTTCGTAAATAGCGCGATTAATAGAAAATTTGCTCACAACTTACCTCTTTTGGTCCAATAATTGTTTCTCTTGTCGTAAAATTTGTTCTTGTTCTTCTCTCGAAAGATCAGCACCAGGCAATTCGTGTAAAATTTGCTGACATTTTCGGAACTTTTCTTTAAGTTTTCTCGTCTTCATGAAGATTCGAATAACGAATTATTCCAAGAAACTTTACTTAATATATCCCGAAGCAAAATATAATCATGAGTACCATATTTTTTATTTCCTGTTCATTTTTACCCGTCTCCACCTTCTCAAGGATTTGTATAATGTGAGGAAGAAAAGAGAACTCTTCTCGAGGAAAGCGCTCAACCTCTAGCGTACCATCTGGTGTTGAGGGTTGAGAAGTTATAAATGCGCCAGGAGTTGTCGTATGAACATTCTCAATAGTTGATTCGTAAGATTGCATGTTTTTTACGTAAGGCGTGCAGTTTGTCTTGCTGCGGAATACACTTATAAAACCTAATTTTTTCGTGTTTCATTACGTCATGTTTTGTAATGTCGATATAAACCTTAATAAATCCTCATTATTCAGTTTCCTTCTTTCTCACCTGTTCCTTTGACTCATATCTCACATAAAGTATATCCTATAATGTCTACAGAAGCTGTTAAAAGTACAAAGGTGCCCACGCATCACAAACGTACCTACACTGGCTACGCGGACCTCAAGTCAGAAAAAGAAAAGTGGGCATCGGAAACTTGGAAATTGTGGGAAAAATATGGTGTTGGCGAGGCAGATGGTTTGTATGAAGAATTGATACAATAATTATATGGATTACTCCTGAGTGTAATAAAATCCACCCAACAGACAAAGATAGTTTCCAAAAGTCCTTTGTTCGTCACGTGACCACAACTCTTGCCAGATCCGCTTATAACATTGACAACTTTAGCGCATATCAGGCTACTGCTCACACGTAAGTTGCCGCGAAAAAAAAAAAGTTTTATTAATCCACTTCTCATAATTTAAACTATTCTTTATGATAGTGTTCGGGATCGATTGATCAAGAGATGGAATGATACTCAACAGGTGATTTACAAATGTGATGTTCCGTTTATGGAAAGATGTACGTTGATAGAATTGATAATCTTGTATCTCATGTAGGCTCACACCGAAGGGGATTCAAAGCGTGTCTATTATCTCTCTTTGGAATTTTTGCTGGGTAGATCATTAGATAACGCTCTTCTTAACTTGGGACTGAAGGAAAGCTATGGAGGTATGATAGTAATAATTGTAATTTGCGTGTCACAAGACCAGTTAATTGTAATCCTCTTATCCGCACCTTTTTGCAATTAGATGGTGTCGAGGAACTGGGTTTCAATATGGAAGACGTCCTTGATCAAGAAGTTGATGCTGCTCTCGGTAACGGTGGCTTAGGTCGTCTTGCTGCATGTTACATGGATTCTCTTGCTACGTTAAATTATCCAGCCTGGGGTTACGGTCTTAGATACACTTATGGAATCTTTCAACAAAGGTAATTTTGCATTTTATGGATTAGCAATTCAACTGAAAAAATGATTTAATGAAGAATCATAATTATCTAGATTGAAGGATGGGTACCAAGTTGAATTTCCAGATTATTGGTTAAATTTCGATAATCCTTGGGAATTGCCTCGCCTTGACGTTGTTGTTGACGTTAATTTCGGCGGATCTGTCAGCAAATACACTGATGAACTAGGCCAAGTACGACACGTTTGGGAAGGTGCCGAGCAAGTTCAGGCCGTGGCCTATGACGTACCTATTCCTGGTATGTTTTGGAAACACTTCTTGCTCTGCACACAGACAAATCTGTTTCGAGAATTCACAATTTCCAAAATATACCTATTTATTGACTGTTATGTAGGTTATGATACCAATAATTGCATCAATATTCGATTGTGGAGTAGTAAGCCGAAGCGTCAATTTGATCTCAATCGATTCAATGAAGGTCAATATGATCAAGCTGTTGATGAACAAATGAAGGCTAGAAACATTACTGCAGTCCTCTACCCTAACGATAACCATATGGTTGGTAAAGAATTACGCCTTAAACAACAATACTTCTGGGTGTCTGCCAGTCTTTCCGACATGTAAGCATGGTTGAATTCTTCATTAAATCAGTTTTAAGTCTACTCACCGTCTTTTGGGATTAATTTAGCATTCGTCGATTTAAAAAAACCAAAGCGCCGTTTAGCTCATTTGCAGAACGTGTAAGTTATTCATTGTTTGATACATTTTCGCAAAAAATAGATAAACAATTCATCTAAGTCAGTCACGACTTTATAAATAGGTTGCTATTCAGTTAAATGGTAAGACGGGTTACCACACCCAAGGAATTTTATAAAGTTAATACCCTATTAACCATACATGTATTATTCAGATACTCATCCAGCTCTTGCCATTGTCGAATTGCAAAGGATCTTGGTTGATATCGAAGTGAGTCTTTTATTAAAGTCAGAAGTTCGTGTTTTTTTTTACTAATGAATATAATTGCACAGGGTCTCACTTGGGATGAAGCATGGGATATAGTTGTTGATACATTTGCCTTTACGAACCATACAATTCTACCCGAGGCCATGGAAAAATGGCCGGTTCCTATGGTGCAGTATTTGTTGCCTAGACATATGCAAATTATTTTTGATATCAACTTGGTAAGTTAATACAATTGCACTTAAGGCTTGAAAGAATATTTAATTTATAAAAATTTATTTGTACTCGATATAGTTCTTTTTGCAAAAAGTCGAACAAAAATATCCCGAAGATCGTGATCTTCTAGCCAAATTGTCAATTATTGAAGAATCAGCACCACAATTTGTGAGGTGAGCCCGTGATCATTATTTTCTTGATGCATATTACATTTTTTTACTAAAATATTGTTGCTTTTCCCTCGCATTTTGTAGAATGGCGCATCTTGCTATCGTCGGTGAGAAATATCAACAATCTTTAATTTATAATTTGATTTTTGAAAAAAGATTGGACGAAAAAATTTGTTAAAAAATAGGCTCACATCGTGTCAATGGCGTCGCCAAGTTGCATTCAACTTTAATCAAAGAAACGGTGAATGATATTTCATATATTGTGTGTTTGTTAATATTCAAGTCAAGTGACTGTGTATCCCATAGATTTTCAAAGATTTCGTCCGGTACTACGGCTCTGATAAGTTCGTGAACAAAACTAACGGAATTACCCCTCGCAGGTGACTATGTATAGCCTTATAGGCTATATTTGTTGATGAAATTAATTAACTGAATATTGTTATCTTTAGATGGTTGCATCAAGCCAATCCTAGGTTAAGTAAACTGATCACCGAGAAATTGGGAAATAAGGATTGGGTGAAAGTATTTATCAGTTCGTTATTCGTTATCTATTTACGTATTATTATGTAATACAAAATTGAATCCCGTTTACTACACACAGGAATTGAGTTTATTGAAAAATCTTGAAAAATTCATTGGTGATAAAGATTTCAGAAAGCGCTGGGTCGAAGTAAAACGTACAAATAAGGTTTGTTTACACTTTGATATAATGAATTTTATTTTATATCACTAAATATATAATTCCATTGGATAGGTTCGCTTGGCAAAGTATATCGAGAAGAATACCGGCATTTTAGTTAATGCAAATGCTTTATTTGACATCCAAGTAAAACGAATTCATGAGTACAAAAGACAGTTTATGAATATATTGGGGTTAGTTCGAACGGTCCATTTACAAATACAGCATTTCTATTGGTTACTTATCATCGGTTTCAATGTTTTTAGTGTCATTCACCGTTATAACACATTGAAAAAAATGTCTGCCAAAGAAGCCTCCAACGTGGTTCCTCGAGTTGTTATCTTTGGTGGAAAAGCTGCACCAGGTACAAAAACACATTTACCTTGTTACAAGTATTAATATTAGTTAATTTTACTAAATGTACCTTTGATAGGCTATTACATCGCCAAATTGGTTATCAAACTGATAAACAGTGTTGCTGATGTCGTGAACAAAGACCATTCTATTCATGATTTGCTGAAGGTTAAAATCTACTTACCATACTTTAAGAACTAGATTTAAAAGTTTGAAATTTTATTAATACTTATCCAAATCATTCCAATTAGGTCGTTTTTATTCCTGATTATAATGTTTCTGTTGCCGAAATAATTATCCCGGCTTCAGATATTTCACAGCATATCTCGACTGCTGGTACCGAAGCATCCGGTACTAGTAACATGAAGTTTGTTTTGAACGGCGGTCTAATTCTCGGAACTGTTGATGGTGCAAATATCGAAATTCACGAAGAAATTGGAGACGAGAATATTTTCATGTTTGGAAATTTGGCAGATAAAGTCGAGGACTTGAGACATGCCCATAGGTATGTATTCATTATTCAGTTTTACTAAAAAAATATTTTTCTCACTCTTATTGCTTTCAGATACCGAAATGTGCCAATGGATCCTACACTGCAAAAAGTGATAAATGATATTGAATCTGGTCAATTCGGTGATCCACGCATATTTTCACCTTTGATAAATACCTTGACCATCGGCAAAGATTACTACTTAATATCGGATGATTTCGATTCTTACCTTAGAGCGCAGGAGATGGTAGACGAAGCCTATAAAGATCAAGAAGAATGGACAATAAAGAGCATTTACTGTACCGCACGTATGGGCAAATTTTCATCGTATGTATTCTATTATATAATATTGTTACTCTATAATATATGTTGTCTGAATATTTTTGTTATTTCTCTAGTGACCGCGCTATCAAAGAATACGCAGAAAGTATTTGGAATACTGAGCCTGTACCCATTAATATGATGTAAGGTTATAAAAGAATGTTGAATTATAAATAAATTAAATAAATTGAGGTTTACTATTCATCAAATAAATCAATTTACTGTAAAATTTATCTATAATTCAAATAAAAATAAATTTATATAATTTATATTTACATATCAATTTTTTTAATATCAAAATACAATGGCTAAAAAGTAAATAATTTGGCAAATCAGTCAAATTTATATAATATAAATTTTGACTATAAATTGGCATAAATAATTCAGTGTATAATTTGTTCGCATTTTTTTTTAAACCTTATTTGTTAAAAGCTTAATATTTTTCTTAGTAAAGTTAATATATTTTTTTATCAAATTTTTTTTTCATATTTTTTAATTAAAGTTATAAAAATATTAATTTTTAAATTAACATTTGTAACTTGAATTTAAGAGAAAATTGAAAAAGATATAAGTTAAATTATTATTAAATCATAAATCTATCTTTATTAATTAATTAAATTATTTATAAAAATTATATACACTGGACCATCTAATAAAATTTAAATAATTGTAAATAATTTATTATTATTATAATAATATAATAACAATTTTTTATTAAA